CAAAATCAGCCTAATTTCCAGCCAGGTACTGTAAATGCTGAAATGACAACTGTCACTAGCAGGTTGTAGCTAGCTAATTAAGCTAACATTAACTCCATGAGTTAATTTGGATAATGAGTTTGGCAGGAGTTGCTGGAGTGTAAAGTTTCCCAAATCTAACAAGGAGCAGGACTTCAGCTCATGTTAGCCTAAACTCTGATATAGAAACATCGACAACAACACCGGCGCCCACATAGCGGGGAAATACTACTGAGAGTATCTTTTTATACATAACCTGTAATCCCACAAAATAATGTTGTATAAAGGCATCCTGGTCTTGGAAATAAAGCTGGGTTAGGTATTAGGCAAGTAGCCAGAGATGCTCAGGTTTACAGCTTACATTAGAGCAGACAAACACACTGTTAACTCCAGTCCTTACACTTTTGCTCTTGTGCTTTTGATTTTGGAGATGGTACCTCTCAAATGTAACAATGCCTTGTTGCATTTACTACACTCTGAATGGACAATCCTTGTTTGAAGGAATGGTTTAGGGATCAATGAATAGGAATGTGGGATTGTAGAATTACTTTCTGTTTTAAAATGGATTATATAATCAGTATGAATCAAAAACATCTAACTTGTAGTTGTCTTATTCCCTTGCCCTGTAGTCTGATTCTTCAACTGTTGCTACTACTGATGCTGTATTTGTTGCTTTACAGTGATGCAGGTAATTGTTATCTTGTCTTTAACTTGTAAGTCATTCATCTGGACAGGAGCCTGATAAATAAATGTTTACAAGTGAAGTGTAAAATGTATTCATGTTAGAACAAATAAAACAGGACAGATCATTGATTAACATGATTTCAACCTGACTTCACATTTTGACAAACACTGTAGAATTGCTATAATCTTTCCAAAAATGTGTTGTTTTTATGTTTCAAGGGCACACAACAGTACATATGTGCACCCAAAGCTAATGCTGCCAAGGGTGGATCTCATAACCACACACCCATTTGACGTAATTTCCTACATAATGGTGATGTAAATATGACAACAACCATCCATCTGCCCACAAATTCACCACACCCATCTGGACAAATACTGTGAGGAAGACTCCTTGCCCAGGACAAAAGTGGAACACTAGAAATTTAACGTTTAATTATCTGCTTTCATTAGATGCTACTAATGAAAACTTTTCACACACAGAGCAGCTATTTATTTCATAGACAACAAAAATATTTTAGTCAAATGATAAGGTTTACTCTCATTTACACAGCTGCTTTTAAATTTAGGCTGAAGTAAGGATACTCATTTGTTATCAGGAAACAGGGCCTATGCACCTTCACCATCTATCAGTCTTGGGGACTACCTGTGGGGTCACCTACCAGAACACTCAACTCCAAGAAATGATACAGACCAAGGCCGTAGATACAGGGAAGCTATAACACAGGCTGTTATTGGGCCGGCCACCTGCCCATGCATCAGTTTAATGTTCTTTATCACCATCACATCCGAGCTAGAGTCATTCATCCACACCAGGGAGAGTTTACTGTAGAGGTGTCTGGTTCAGAGACACATATGAGTCAGACATTTTGAACAGTGACAAGCTGCCACAGTCTGTGTATGCTCACTGTTTTATTGGTCACAAACACGCACACTAGCACTCTCTTGTATGCAGCTCAGAGAAACTGCATAATTGTCTCTGACGCAGCCCTGACACTACCCTTTTCCATTCTCACTCTGTCGCTCCTCTGCTCTGGTAAGCGTATGCCTCTAGGCCATCCTGTAAGACATGAAAAACACAATCGTGCGAAAGTGTTGAGCACCGTGGACTGAATTCAGAAAGCTTTTGACAACTACATTTTTACCAAATAGGAATTCTTAGATGATGATCCCTGTAATTGTTTAGACACTGCAGGGAGCATTTATCTGTCTCACACTGAGACATGGGACACTTAAAAGATTACTAATTGACATGTTGGCAGTTTCTGTTGGATTTGGTTTGCTTTGCACCAGTCAGCAGAAATAAAAATGCAAGACAATGTAAATAAAAGCATTTAGTCACTGATTGCATTTTGGAATTACATTTTTGTAACTATAATGTTCAATGGGATGTACCTAATGTGCAATATGGGACCGGTCTAATGAGGGATTGGTATGGTCAAGGCAAAATGAAAAACAAACCCAGACTGAATGAAAACAATGTAGAGATAAGCTACACAGGAACAGAGAAAAGGCTGCAAACAAACTGCTGTAGCTGAAATAGTGGGTAACATCAGTGTGTGTCTGGCACACTGATAACGCTTTTTTAAATGAAGCATGCTCTCTTTCAGAGATACTGACTCATGAATACTTTTATTTCAAAATTGGCTTTTAGTGGTTTGGATTAGATGATAACTCCACTTATCATCCACCAAAGAAATGCAGTTGTGCCAAAGTGAGCGTAGTTTGCTAGGCAAAGTAAAATGACATTGTCTGGATGTAACTCCCACTTCAAAGTCTGTCAGAACATTACACATCAATGGACCCCCAGTGAGGGCAGTGGGGCCTGCCCACCGGGCCTGGCTCCAGCACCGGCAGCATATCGAGGCCCCTTCCATCTGTTGCCCTTGTCCTGGGTGTGTGTGTGTGTGTGCTGGCCTGCTCAGATCCTATCTCTATCATCTGCTGAACTCTAATGCCTCTCTGTTTCCCTCTTATTAGGCCTGAAAAGATGCACCAGATGGCTTGTGGGAGAAAATCATACTCCTCCAAAAGGGAAAGAGGCACCACCCACAGCCATGGTAGAGCTCTGAAAGATTTAAGACATGCCATACTTTAAACACACACGCACACACATAAAGACCTCATTGGTTCACGCTTGAATTGTACAAACAGCGTTATGTCCCTAGAAAGGAATGACAGCAGCGTATAAATTAGACGATCGAGTCTTTAAGATGGATACTTGATATATTGACCGAACACACGTGACCTTGACTCTGTGGCTACACGGTATGTCTGAACAGGCAATCTGTGTGTAATAGTGTTCTGTTCGCAAACTAAATAGTCCTTTTACACAAGCATGTATTAAAAGATTCATATATCAAACATGCTCGAGCTTCAATTCACACTGATGGGTCATTTACCTTTATTCATTTAGCTGACGCTTTTATCCAAAGCGACTTACAATTGCTATATAGGTCAGAGGTCACATGCCTCTGGAGCAACAAGGGGTTAAGTGTCTTGCTCAGGGACACACTGGTGGATGTTCACAGTGGGAAATGAACCCAGGTCTCCCACACCAAAGGCAGGTATCTTATCGATGCGCCATCACCAGCCCCGTCTCCAGTACACCTGAAGACCTGAATTCCAGTGGAGAGTGGAGCAAGTGTTCTGTCTGGTTTTCTCCCTGTCGTTAAGTTTTTTTTACATTTATATTGATTCATAAAACCAGATTTACTGAAGGAATAAGAATACACCCCCACATTGATATGCTAAAACTAAATATAAAGAGTGAAAATGCAGTGAATCATTTGCCATATACATCTATACTGAGTCATCTTTAAAAGTGTTTTACTAGAGTTTCACAATAACAATGATGACTTCCACTATGAACTGATTTTAGCTTGAAAACACACAAGCAGCTGACAAAGCACACACACACTCAAATTTTCAAATACAACGCCCTGATCAGATTTTATTCTAAACGCTCCCTTTACCCTCAAACAGCTCATTTCCCCCCCTTTTCCCCCTACACAAAAAGCCACCCTGGAGCACTGATCCTTTCCAGTAAATTGTTCTGTCGAACACTTGGGTCACACTCTTGTGTTTTTTGATTCAGCAACTCAAGTTATTCGAGTCCAAGCCGACTGCTGGACTGAAGCTTAAAAATACCTGCATGACACTTTGCAGCAAAATGTAGCACGCAGCTGCTAGATCATCTGATGGCTTTTCTTCAGGTTATCCAGGCATGCAGACACACACACACCATCATCATCATCATTAGCGGCTGCGCTATTAACAACAATTTAGTGATTTTAATTCCCTCTTGGTTGCTGACTGTTTTTTTTCCATCATACTGTAAGAGCAAAATGAAAAAATAATCTGTGAGGTTTAATGTACCAGATGTAATTTAAAACAAGTAATAATGTGCAGAGATGTCTGTGCATGAGTTTATTCATTTTCATGCATACAACACACTTGGGGAAATTATGTCTTTTTCCTCTCTGCCTTTCCCCATGGTTTTGTTTTTCATAATGCAACATCCAGGATTCTGGTTTCCCTCGCGCAGGGCTACCTCAGTGTACCAGCCCTATCCTCGTCTCTCTGGCCTGGCTGAGATCCTCAGAGGGCCAGGTCCAGCTCCTCAGGTTCAAAGGAGATGAGCTGGCCCGAGGTGGTGGTTTTTGATCCTCACACCAGACGCTGTCTCACCTCCACAGCAGACAGGCTCTTTATTCAGTGACGCCTGAAATTAGATGGTGCACTTTTTCAGGGGGGTGGAAATGTTGTGGTGGAACTGGCATCAGGGTTGCCCCTGCCAATCCCTGGAGCTACAGAAGCATCTGGAGAAATAGGCTGTGGACTTTGAATTTTCTGTCACCCAGAACAAAAGAACTTTTGTCCATGGATGCAAATTTGTGTTCATTCCAATTTCTGCAATATCTTTCTGCATGTGTGCTTTTGTGCAGTCATGCATGCATAAGGGTTTGCTTTATCAGTGACACAATTGCAGCTCTTCCAGAATTAATTCCCCGCTGCCAAAAACAACATATGTTCTTGTCTTATACAGCGATTCTGCTCATGTCCAAGCAGTTTTTGGCTGTCTTTAAATGTCTTTAACGGGGATGAAGGATCTGTACAGTGCATCTGCAAACTGCAAAGTGAACTGACAGTTTTCACTTACTTAAGCATAGTTACCTGATTGTACAGTTATTACACAATGAAACTGGACTCTTTCTTTTCTGTCTTCGACCACATCTTCTTCAGAACCTCTTGTCCACCTCCCTCCTGTCTCTCCCTTTCTACCTCTATCTCCCTCTCTCTGAGCAACTCCCCCTTCCCTTTTCCTTCTCTCCTTCCAGTGCTGCAGCCCACCCTGCTCTGAGCTTTAATGGTACATGCCATTAGAAAGCCATTCTCTGGAAGGGAGGAGGGGAGGGTGGTCTCAATCTCAGCTAAGAGGCTACTTTAGTCCCCCAACATAAGCACATTCACAGATGTCTCTGCACGCGTAGAGCCGCGTCTCACCCGTCACGACAGAGCCGCCTGCTTCTCTGTGAAGCAACGAGCCGCGGACAAGGAGAAACAGAGAGGGGACAGATAACCACAAAGAGAGGTGGACAGGAGACGAGAGGGAAGCAGAACAAGAGACAGAAGAGGTGAACACATCGCTGCCACTCTGACGCCTCCTCTCGTGCGCCTGTTTTCGGCTTGTGCGAGCGCAAGAAGAGGAGAGAGGGAAGGGAGGAGAATAAAACCTCGGAGCTTGTGTACTCTGTTTGCTTTATATTTCCGTCCTTTTCTTTTTTTTTTTAATCTCCATCATCCAAGGCATGAAGGCGGGTGTCAGCTGGCACGGCAGTATAAAAGAAAGGGATGCTTTGAATGCTGCCTCTCTTTCGACAAGGGGCAAGGAAGAGGAAGTGGGGGACAACACAGAGCGGGGACAAAAACAGGATTTCTAGAATGAATGGGAGTCCTTCTGCCGCATGCGCTGGGAATAGCAGTCTCACACTGAAGTCTCTGAATGAGGTAAAAAAAAAAAAAAAGAAAAGAAAAGAAAATAATGATACCACTATCTTTCTTTCTCTTCCGTGCCTGATTGGCCGGCAGGGTCAGATATAGATCTGAGAGACACTTGAAAGCGCGTACATAAGCCTGAGAGAGAACAGAACCAATTTCCATGTTGATCAGGCTTGGAACAGAAGTGGGGAGATTGCCATCTTTGTCCCTGGGTCGTTGTGTACAGCAGCACGGTGGAAGTGAGGGGAGATGTATGCATGTAGCATGCTGCAGAGAGGCAGCATGAGCTGGGGGTAGAAAGAAGAGTCAGTGTTGGCCTGATGAAAAGAATTGCTGATAATCCTCCTGATGAGCACTTGGGTGCTGAGATAGCAAAGGGGCATTGAGAGATCTTCTCTTAACTGACCAGCAAAGCTGCTCCTGCACAAGGTCCAATTAGATATTAGATTCAGTCAGTTCAGCTGATAAATGCAAATTATATTCACTTTTTCATAAAATATGAATTTGATCTCCTGTGGAGCACATTACAAATCCAGTGAAAGAAATAAAATATACGAAGGCTCAAAAAAAGGGGGGATAGAACAAAATACAGTGCTCGTTTTCTAAAGCAAAGTCTGACAGAACACTGCTCACTAGTGACCCTGGGGAGCCGTACCTTCCAGACAGAAAATAACAACTTGTCCACAGAGGTGAGCAAAAAAGGGGCATTGGCTTGAGAAAAGGAAAGCTTGAGTTGAAGTTAAGTGGGCTGTACGCTCTCATTTCTGACACCTACCTAGAAAAACCTGGCTCTTTGTGAAAAGATGCAGTAGTAGTGGTTGTTTTCGTGACCAGCACAGGTGCAGGAGCAACTCTGCTCCCTGGTCATGGAAAGAAGAAACAACAGTGCATTGTTTCAACCCATGTTCCACTTCTGTCCACTAATGAGACAATGAAGGGCATATTTTGTCTGTTACGATCACTTGGGTGTGTAAGGCATATCTAGAAGGAAGCAGGAAATATGCATAGTGATGGGAAAACAGGGCTATGTGCATATGCAATATGCATGTGAAACATGCATTGGTAATATTATATTGCAGTGCTTAATTATATGTATTTTTGTAGTTAGCTGGGACTCTCAGTATTCTCAGTGGTAAATCTTGCACAAACTATGGTTCCAGTGCCAAAGGTCTGGGCTCCGGGCAGAAGTCCTTAGTTACGTGTCAAGACACATTAACCTAACTCTCCCTGGAAGTTCTGACTGGTCCATTCCCAGAAAGGCTGACACCCATAATGACATCAGGCACATTGGGCAAATATGCTGTATCTCAAGCTCATATTTTAACAATCAAGCCACTGTGTCTTAGAAAAGAAAACAATTTGGATGCTTAATTTGTGGAATTATTAACATATCAAATACCATTTAATAGCTATTTGATAGATACAATATTTATAGTGAGCCTTATAGTGTTGTGAGTATGTGTATTTGTGCCATTTTATGGGGAAACAAACCTATACGTCTGGTCACTGCAGGGCTGTGTACCTATCAATCAGGAAATACAATAAAACACACGATGGCATCTACGCCTCAGTAGATAACTGAATTAACTATTAGTTCTCCTCCCTCTCCAAACTTCTCATCTGTTCCACATGTCTGCATACATGATGCATGGTGGCAACACCTGGCACTCATTTCTCCGCCTGTACAGTATGTTCACATGCAATCAAGCCATGCATGTTCTCAGCTGTTTCTCACACAGGTGTTAGCGAACCTATATAGCGCTGCACTCTCTGACCATGTATATATTTAGTTTCTGCTCAGACTGGCAACGTCAGCAAATAGCATCCGTAGCTCATTTATGGGAGCGGACAGCTTGTCATTTCATTCTGTGTTGATAGTTGCCCCCAGCTCTTTGGCCATACAATACATAAAGTGCTAGACACACATGATGTGGCTGCAGTTCGTTACAGTATGGATAGAAGAGAGTAAATCTATTGGCACCACAAAGCATACTTACAGTATAACATATAAATGTTATTCATTTTCTTTTCATAAATGTCATCAATCAAAATAACATTAGTTTGTATGCTTTACTATTGTGCCTTTCTTTTTTATAGAGCTATTATTTATTATAGAGTATTTTATCGCTTTAATGAAAAAGCCCTATTAAACACTCTACGTACTAGAAAAGGGTCAAAAACTATTGTAACTGGAGAGCTGGGGGGTTATTGTAAAGTGGCATAATCCACAATTGTTTTTATTTAAAAAGCTTTTCACTTTACAATGAGCACTGAAATGTGAAGCAATCAATGTTAGGAACGGAAAAGGAAAATTACTCACATTACTATTTTTACCCTACCAAAAAGTTTAAAAATGCATTATAACAGCATATTATTAAGTCTTATTAAACAATGTATTATCATTTGTAAGAATGGTTAAGTGGTTCCAAATCTTAGCTTTTTCCTCATCTAGAATGGGGAACACTACACAATCAATGTCATCATAACATGGGTATTATACTATACAGGTATATATGCGTTTACATCTTGTAGAAATGCAGGTGTTGCATGTTCACATGTGGAGTATATGTGTTTATCACAGATAGCTCAGGAGCATTTCACACATCATTGCACAGTGTAATAATGGGTTTGGAGCCTGACAAGACGCAGGGATTAGACTTTGCACAAATGTTTTGAAAGCTATTGACAAGGCTGCGGAGGTTTAGAAAGATGTGTGTGGGTGCGTGTAAAGCATGTCTACCTACACTGAGAGTTCACAGATACAGGTTTTTGAACCCCACTCCACTGGGCAAAAATCTTTTATATTTGATGTGTGTTGAGTGTGTGCTGTAGGTTTCTCTTTGAAGGTAACTGCGCTCCTCTGTAGATTCAGTCATGGAGCTGTCCAGCCTTCGGCAACAGTGGGGCAGGGGAGCAGACATGAGGATAAAACCTCGCCTTTATCACATACAGTACGTTAGATACTCTATATAGCTGAACAACCCACAGTATGAAGTGTATAGAGTACAGTGTGTGCTTAAGTACATATACGTATATATAACAGATAAGAGAGTAGTTCACACAGCTACATGGGCTCTCACATCTTGCGACTGGAAATATAGGTTTGCAAAAGCACACTCATTCTCATGAACAACTGTGTGCTATCACTACAATCAAAATGTGTAACAGAAAGCAAAATCCACTACAGGAATGGGAATTCAGTGGGGAACACTAATGCAATACTGGGGCGAACATTTTCCCATGTAAATCTAGTTGATCATGAATATTAACCACTGTGACTGCTTTCCAGAGTGACGCCACAGCAGTCTGATCTTTTTGAGGCTACATCAACAAATTCTCCTGCAGTCTGAATATAGTCTAAAAGGGTTGCATGTTGACAGCAGGTTTAGGATGTACATTTTATAATTATTACATGTATTACACAATACCTGCAACAAACATGCACAAAATAACAGTTTGGATTAGCACTGTAATGTGCTATTATACTATTTATATCAGCTATGATTATTGGTCATGGTATGGTCAAGTGCTGATAGCTGAATTCATATATAAAGGATCAGGCTACTGCATTCAGAGTGCTTAATCCCAGTTGATAAATTACCATTCGTTTCAGTTTTACCCATTTTTACAGAAAAAAACAGCATTAGTTGAAATGATTTTCACCCCGATTTTTATGCCCTTGTGCATCCAAAAGTACTTTTTCCTATAGCATCAATAAGCAGATTGCGCAGTTTAAAAGGTCCTCTTGTAAGACAAGCAGCTAAGAGAAGGGTTTTGGTGACAGAAGTTGAAGAGAAACCTCGTATAAAAAAAGACTAACTGTTATAACCATATTACAAATTACGTTTGCAAAATATGCTATATGTGATTTTGCACAAATCACAGTTCTGTATAGTTCTTTATGTCCCATGTACACTTTTTTCTAATTTTTGCAATAAAAGGGGGAAAAAAAGATTCTGATTATTCCGACACCACATGAATGCACCATCAGTCACTGTTCACCCCTCCCTTTCCAAGCGCGCAGGAGACGCTACGGTGGCTGACACGCTTTGTCGGCTCTTGTGCTAAATAAATAACAATGGTGTTCAGCAATAATATAAGTCACTCTAACAGTATGAAAACATGTGATGGCATGGTGTGACTATGGCCTATGGCGGTCCCAAAGGCAGGTTCTTTAAACGTACTGGTCACATGCCCTTTTTAATGAACAGCTTAGAAGCAAAGTTATAGCAAAATGAAGACTAAGAACAATCTGTTGGCCTTGCAGAAGTGCTGTTGTACCTCCGTGGATTACACTCCATGGGGCACTTAAAATCTGTCTGGCTGCCCATTAAGACAGCCACTATCCTGGCTCATTAATGTCCTGCTGAGGAATTAGAATAAACTGTGCTCCACAGACTTGCGCTGGCAGAGGCTCTCTGCCTTCTATCCAGCAGTTTTTCTCCCTCCAGGGACAGCAGTTGTTTGCCTGAAGTACATCAGAGCAGCTTGGAGTGACCAACAACACAGAATAATTAGATGTTCAATTCCTCCAAATGGGCTGGGTGTTGAATTCATCCTGACTTGCTTCAGCAATTTCGGCAAAAGTTGCCAAATATAATCACTGTGTAGGACTCACCACTCACTTAAATGGGAAATCGAGTTTGAAAACCGAGGATTATAAGATGAGGATGGGACGCAACACCATCCTGGAAGTAGTGAAGCAGCACGAGTCGCAATCAAGTGCATTAAAATCACAGGAACAGAGTGCTTGGAGTTTGATTAAAGCTGTGTTTTACTATATGTTTTGTTTGCACATTGTGCTATATTTATGTTTTGGTTATTCCTCTTTTGTTCTGCGAGAAATGTTTGAGTTTGAGAATAGAAGGGTCTATCTGTGTCTCCTAGAGGTAGCTATTTGATTACTCAGAACTCTCACCAGTGGACCTTTTATGACCCCAGTCAAATTGGGGAAGGTATTTGTGAAAACTCTTATGTTAGAAATAACAATTAATTCAATGAAAAACATG